GAAATTTTTTGAAATAATTTTTTTCGAAATATTTCATATCAAATACAATAATTTCGAAATATTTTAACACTGCAAATTCTTTCGCAATATTTTATATTTATTTTTTGCTGATGTATTTTGCTGAGTTTTTAACTAATTTTAATGAATTTACTATTATTAGAATTAGAAAAACCTACTCTACAAATTTTAAATAATAGTTAAAATTAGTTTACTTAATAAAAATTTTTATAAAATTAAATATAAAAAAATTTGCTATTAAGTTTATATATAATTTTAAAAATATACCGTTTATCTTTAATTGAATTGTTAACTAGGTTATTAATTAGATCATTAATTAGGTTGTTAACTAATAGTCTAAAAGATATAAAACCTTTGCTTTTTTCTCAAAGCAGAGCAAACTAACTCTTATTTACTTTTAATTTCTTATTATTTATAGTTTATTTTTTAATAATTAGACTATCTCCTATTTACTTTTAATTTTTTATTATTTATGGTTTATTTTCTTGGAAGTATAACCATTGCCTACCTTCTTTTTATTGTGTTTAATAAAGTTTTTTTTGTGTTTTTATTATGTATTTAAAGTTGAGCCATCACCTCTTCTTTCTTTCTTAAGTATTTCTTTTTGGTATATTAAGTTAAGCTATTGCTTCTTCTTTCTCTTCTTGAATATTTTATTGTGTTTTAAGATTAGAGATATTGTCTCTTTTCTTTATTTTTAGTTTATTGTTTTACTTTAAAGTCTCTTTTAGTTTTCTTTCTGATTTTATTCTTTTCTTGTTTGCAAATATATTCCTTAATCCTCTTACATGTTAAATCAAATAGTATAGCTTTATTAAAACTCTGTATTGCTATATTACAATATCAATAAACAGAACTTTGATGTTTAAGTTATATTTAATATTTTTTTGCTATAAATAAAAATATTTATACAATAGAATTAAATTAAATGACTAGACCACAAGTAAATTTCTGTATACTAATAGGTAAAGAATTAACAGAACTTGAAAAAATTTATTATGTAAAAACTTATTCAGCTAAACAAACAAAATATAATTCTTTAATTAAAGAAGAAGAAATAGAGTCAATCTTAAAACATCTGCTTTAATATCAGATAGAAGAAATATATTACTTAGATGACCTTAATTATATTATACATCTTATTTATTATTTTAAGATATATAATTTAATACAAATATATAAAATAAACTTATGTTGGATTTCTATTAAATTATGCAATTAAATGTCTTTGAATATAGAAATTCAAAATTTGATATAATTCAAACTACAGATAATAATAAGACTCTGAAGAAATCTAATATAACACAGAAATTACTAAAAAAGAAAGTTTTGCATAGAAATTCATTAAACATTGTATTTTTATATAATAAAATTTTAAATTTTAGCCTATTTTATATACTTATTTAGCTGATATTATACAAACTCAAACCTGAGTTGTATTAGAGTTCTTTGAGGTCCTGTAATAATCAAGAAAATTTAAAATATTAATTTTTATTAGCTTAAATACAAGAGAATACAGACACTGATGATATATATACAATTAATCTAATTAAAAATTTTTTTAATATTAAAATATTAATTTTTTAAATAAGAACTACTTGTAAATTATCTATTAGTTAAGTAGCAATATCAGATAATAGTCATTTATTAGCAGAAAATGTATTCAAAGATATCAATGATTTAATTAAAGCTATATAAATTTTTTTTTTTAGTTTTCATAACCTAATCAGATCAAATTTTATATGTTTTAATAACTAACTGAGTAGGTTTTTTAAAAAAATTTATAAATTTTTTATATATAAAAATTAAAAAAAAAGTCAGCTAGCTAGGTTTGTTTAAACAATTTTATATTATGAAAACTAAAAAATTTTTTTTATATAGCCTAATAGTCTAATCAAAAAAATTATATTATTATTATTTTTTTATTAATATAATGCTATAGTAAAAACTTTATTACAAATAGAAAAATAATTCTAAACTTAAAGATTTTTAACTATATTTATATGATATAAGGCATCCAATATAACATTATATCTCCTATTTTCTATGAAATGCTATAGTTAATTATTTTAAACTAATTTCTAGCTAAGATAGGTTGGAGGAGATCTAAGGTAATAGTTATAGCATTAAGTAAAGTATATAGTTAAAGTATATTTTTATAAGAGCTATTTATCAATAAAAAGATTAATATTTAAAGCTTGTATCATAATTAAAGAATTATTTAGATTTAGATCACAGATAACTCCAATGTAAGCTCTATCTGAGTCTCTAGTCTTAGTATCCTTTGATATAAAGTTCAAATAATATAATTTCTTTTTTGTAAAGAAATTTAATTAAATTTTAATAAAGATAGAAGTATAGCCTTACTTTTGAAGATTAAAAAAAAATTAAAGAATTATCTGAAGAAGTAAATATATTTAGAAAGTAAAATTTTGTATGTTTAGTTTTAGTGATAATATTTCAAGAAAATTCTTATTAATGTTAATAGATATTATGAATAGACCATAGTTCTTAATAGCAACAAGATAAAAGATTATTTAACAAAAGAATTAGTATGTTTGTTAAGTAATATTTTAATATTGTTATATATAGTAATTGAAAAATTGCTAATAATTGTATTTAGTATAGAGAGGTAGTATAGATTAGAAGAGTTGATAGTGAAATTTAGTAAATTATTAAGAAGAGTATTAAAAAAACTGTTAGAAATTTGAAGAGTTGTTAGAGTTGTTTGAATTATGTTGATGAATTTATAAGAGAGATTAATATTATTGTTTGGACAAATAAGGAGATAAAGAGTGTTTTTAAGGTTAGAATATTGAGAATATACTGATGTGTTGTAAAGATGAGAGTAGCAAATATTAAGATTTTTTATAGTAGAGAAATTGTTTGTAAACATTTTAATATAAAAAAAATATTTAAATGTATCATGTTCTAAAAATTTTAATATTTTAAAGTTTAATGCTTATTTAATTTCTGAAATGTCTTTGATAAACTTTAGTGTAGACTATTTTGAGAGTTCTTGAATTGTAATAGTATTTTTAATAAAGGTATACATTTTGAATGATATTAAATAGTTATTCTATGAAAAGTGATTTGGAAGAAATAGAAAAAAATTAAAATATTTACTTTAGAACATCCTCTTTTAGCAAGTAAAATAGCCTGGTTGTGAAAAAAATTATTAGAGTGATATTTAACTTTGTGAAGTTGTGTATTAATGTTTTTAGTATTTTTAAAATAGTTTATAAAAAAAAGATGTAGCAACTTAGAGTTGTAGTTAAGTTGTCACCCCCAAGCAATAGATCTAGAGTTTGAATCTTACAAAAATGTTTTTAAAAAAATAGGCCTGTGTATTAGTAATAATTATTTAATGATCAGTTGAATATATAACCTGTAATCTTGGTATTATCATCTTGAAATAGAAGCTCTTAGGCAATTCAAATCCAAGAAACTAAAATAATTGAAACTTATTTGACAAGACCCAAGCAAAGTAGTAAAGATCTTTGACAATACTGTGAAAAGCTAAAAATTAGAGACTGAAGAACTAGACAAAAATCTTGATGCAAAAAGAATCCACCAACCTGATTACCAGAGTCGTATTAGAAGAAAAGGTCTTATACTATAAAATTATGAACCAAAAGAAATAAAACTAAAAGACACTTAAAGCCTAGATACAATGATCTATTTAGGCTAACTGGTTTGGTAGTTTGGGAGAATTGATATAAAAATCAGTTTGATGCAGATATCAGGATTAGAACAAACTTGTAAGAGCACCAAATACTGAAATTGTGCAGTTTAATGGTTAGTCCTAACTACTAATATTAGTTTTAGCTACTGCAAAAGGTATTCGTTGTTTAATCTAAAAATATATAGAATATAAAAAGATTAGAAGCATATATATTATATCTTCCCTAGAACAATCTAGTAGTATGAGAACCCTAGTGAATTATCTATAGAATTAAAGTCAAGTAGTATAACATATATCGATTTGGATGGTCTTTAGTTGAAGCAGCACAAGGTTATGTACTAGCATAATTGTTATCAGCAAATTTAATAAGCTAAAATATTTTGAAATAATTTACAATCTATAAAAAAGCTGTAATATTACATAATATATTTCGAAAACTTGTGAAATATAAAAATCATGAAATATTATGTAATATATTTTGGAATATTTCAAAAATTATTTTGAAATATTTTTATAAAAATTTGAAACCTTGCGAAAGTTTTTACTTGTATACTATATTATGTATAGTATATATAAGATTAGATCTTGTTTATCTCTAATATTAGATATTGTTTTGTCTTTCTTTATTAACTTTATTTTATTTTATTTATTTTTTTTATTTATTTATTTTTATTTATTTTTTTTATTTATTTATTTTTATTTATTTTTTTTATTTATTTATTTTTATTTATTTTTTTGGGTGTTATTTTATGGCGACCCATAGCCATGGCGACCCCGTGATCGACCAATCAAAGTTGATCACGTGATTCATGTAACTTTATTTAAAAAAATACAAAAAAAAAAAAAAACTATATAATTTATAATAGAAAAACTAGAGATGAAAACCTAATAACGAAGTTCACAACCAGAAAAAAATCTACTAAAAAAAGTTCAACGGCAAGGATCCAAGAAAGTGCATCCAAAAAATGCCAACAAAGGTCCAACAGAAACACAACTCCAAAGAACGACAATGACTTCAAAGAACGACGACTTCAAAAAACGACGACTCCAAAGAACGACGACTCCAAAGAACGACGACTCCAAAGAACGACGACTCCAAAGAATGATGACTCCAAGAACGACGGCTCCAAAAAACTACGATTCCGAGAACGACTTAGAAGGCTAAATTTATAGGAAAAAAAATAGGTTAAGTTAAAAAAAAAAAAAGGAAAATGAAAAGTGCAAACAAAAAAGGAAAACAAAAAAAAAGAAATAAAAGAATGGGAAGCTAGAAAAAAAAAAAGACGAAAGAAAAAGAATGAAACAAGAAAGAAGAAGAAAGAAAGTGGAAAAAGAAAGAAAATAAAGTGAGAAAGAGAAAAAAAAATAAAGCAGGAAAGAGGAAAAAAAAAATAAAGTGGAAAGAAAAAAAAAACCCTCTGAAAGAAAAGGGAAACAAGAAAAAAGATGGAAAGTGGAAAAAAAAAAGACGAAAAGAAGAAAAAGAAGGATGCAGAAAAGAAGAAAAAGAAGAATGTGGAAAAGAAGAAAAAGAAGAATGTGAAAAAGAAGAATGCGAAAAAGAAGAAAAGAAATAAAGCGAAAAAGAAGAAAAAGGCGAAAGAAAATAAAGCAGGAAAGAAAAAAAAAAATAAAAAATAGAAACAAAAAAAAAGACAGAAGACTCTAAGAACAACAACGAAGAACAATAACTCCAAGACGACGACTCCAAAGAACGACGACTCCAAGACGACGACTCCAAGAATGACGATTCCAAGAATGCTGAAACATAGGAAAGAAAAGAAAGTTAGTTAAGGGGAGAAAAACAAAAAAAAAATAATAAACGAGAAAAAGAACGAAAAAAAAAAAGAAAGAAAAGGACAAAAAGCGGAAAAGAAAGAAAGAAGTAAAAAGAGAAGAAAAAGAAGGAAGCGAAAAATGAACAAAATAGAACGAATAAAGAAGAAAATGCGAAAAAAGAAAATGAGACAGAAAAAAAGAAAAAAAAATAAAACAAGAAACAAAAAAAACAGAGGAAAAAAAAAGAAAAAAAAAGAAGCGAGAAAGAAGAAAAGAAATAGAAAGAAGAAAAAAGTGAAAAATAAAGCAGAAAAAAGAAAGGAATAAAGTGAGAAACAAAAAAAGCAAGAAACGAAGAAAAAGAAAGGAAGCAAAAAAGAAAAGAAATAAAACAGTGAAAGAAGAAAAAGGCGGAAAGAAAAAGGCGGAAAAAAAAGCAGAGGAAAGGAAAATAAAAAGTAAAAAAAAAAATAAAAAAAATAAAAGCGAAGATAATAAAGAAAATAAAAAAAAAGCAAAAAATACATACCTAAGCCTAAAATTAAGTAAAGCAAAAAACAAAAGCCAAAAAAAAGAACGAAAGCCAAAATCCAAAACAAACGATTATTAATTGTTTATATATGATCAGCGATCTCAAAAATGATTGGCCGATCATATAGGGTCGCCATGGTGATGGGTTGCCATCTATAATTTTTCTATTTTTTTTATTTATTTATTTTTATTTATTTTTTTTATTTATTTATTTTTATTTATTTTTTTTATTTATTTATTTTTATTTATTTATTTTATTTATTTATTTTTATTTATTTATTTTTTTTATTTATTTATTTTTATTTATTTTATTTATTTATTTATTTATTTTATAGCACATCTACCCACTTCAAATCTCTCTAGTACCTTGCAAGAATACCAACTCGGATTATAAACTTTTATTAAATCTTAGAAACAAAGAATAAATATTGTGTTTTTTATTATTTATTTTACTAATGCTTTTTTTTTTGCTTCACCAAGAAATGTTTTTTTCAGATTTGTCTCTGTTTTTTTATTTTTTTATTTTTTTTTTCTTTACTAATGTTTTTTTTCTTTTTAGGCTTTTGCTTTGTCAGAATGGTAATTTGGAACCGGGCTTGAGCTTTTGGAATTAGAATTAGGCTTGGTGATATAATGATAAATACCTTTTTTTTTTTTTGATTTCTTGTTTGTCTTTTGTTTTTACTAATGGTTTTCTTTTTTCTAGATTTCACTTCGCTGGGAAACATTATTAAAACCAGAATTAAGATCTTGAAACCGGGCTTGAGATCTTGAAATTAGTCTTGAGATTCTGAAATGAAAACTGTACAAAGATAAGTATGAGTCTTTTTTGTTTTTTTGTTTTTTTTTTTTAATGTTTTTCTTCTTTTGCTCTACTGAGAATGTGTATTAGAACTGGACTTAGAATTTTGGAATCAAGCTTGAGATCTTGGAGCCAGAAGCTAGTACAATAATAAGTACCAATTCTTTTTTTGTGTTTTTGTGTTTTTGTGTTTTATTTTTTACTAATAGTTTTTTTTTTTCTAGGTTTTGCTTTACCGGGAAACATTATTAAAACCAGGATTAAGATCTTGAAACCAGGCTTGAGATCTTGGAATTGGTCTTGAGATCTGAAATAGAAACTGTTCAAAGATAAGTATGAGTTTTTTTTGTTTTTTTTTGTTTTTTTTTGGATCTCCTTTAGTATAGGTGGGCATATATAAATTATTACAAGATTATAATATATAAAACCTAACTAATTTGAGCCAATTTAAACTCTAACCTTAACCCTGATCCTAATAATTTATAAAATTACTTAAATTAGTTTAAAATAGTTAAGTTATATATATAATAATTGTATAATAATTATATATGCCCACCTATACTAAAAATCAACCTTTTTTTTTGTTTTTTTTTATTAACGTTTTTCTTCTTTTACTCTACCGGGAAAGTGTATTAGAACCAGACTTGAGATCTTGGAATCAAGCTTGAGATCTTAGAGCTAGAAGCTGGTATAATAATAAGTACCAATTCTTTTTTTGTGTTTTTGTGTTTTATTTTTTACTAATGATTTTCTTTTTTTTCAGGTTTCACTTCACTGAGAAAGGTTATTAATTTAAGATCTTGGAATCAGGCTTGAGATCTTGGAATTGGTCTTGGGATTCTGAAACCGGAAACTGTACAAAGATAAGTATAAGTCTTTTTTTGTTTTTTTGTTTGTTTTTTTTTGTTTTTTTTATTAACGTTTTTCTTCTTTTGCTCTACCGGGAAGGTGTATTAGAACTGGACTTGAGATCTTGAAATCAAGCTTGAGATCTTGGAGCCGAAGCTGGTATAAAGATAAGTACTAGTTTTTTTTTTTATATTTTCTTGTTGTCTTTTGTTTTTACTAATAGTTTTCTTCTTTTTAAATTTTTGCTTTGCTAGGAAACATTATTGAAACTGAGCTTAAGATCTTGGAATTGGGCTTGAGATCCTTGAACCAGAAACTGGTATAAAGATAAGTAATAATCTCTTTGTTTTATTTTTTTATTTTTTCTTTTTTTTTTACTAATGTTTTTCTTCTTTTTAGGCCAGAATAGTGATTTGGAACCAGACTTGAGATCTTGAAATCAAGCTTGAGATCTTGGAGCTGAAGCCAGTACAATGATAAGTATTAATTCATTTTTTGTGTTTTTGTCTTTTTTATTTTTTACTAATAGTTTTCTTCTTTCCAGATTTTTGCTTTGCCGGAAAAGATTTTTTTAGAAAGGTGAATTAGAACCAAACTTGAGATTTTGAGCTCATAGTGCCAGAAACTGATACAAAAATAAGCGACAGTTTTTTTTTTTGTGGGTTTTCTTCTTTTTTTAAGAAGTTTTTTGCTAGAAATGATAGAAATGACGGAAATGATATATTGGAATTAGCTGATTTTTTGTAATTTAAATAATAAAGTAATATTTTAATGAATAAATATATATGTATAAAAATATTAATAATAAAAAAATATTTTTAATAAAATAGAATTTTGCAGTATTATTTTTTTTTATTTCAAAATATTATGCAAATTTTTAAAATATATTCGTAATATTACAAAATATATTACGTAATATTATATGATATTTTGAAATTTATTTCACAATATTTTGAAAATTATTATATGATATTTCAAAATTTATTTTGCAATATTTCGAAATTTTTATGTAATATTCTGTAATTTATTTCGAAATATTCTGTGTCAATCATAATTATTGCGCAATATTTCAGTGCATAATAATTTATATAAGTTTACATTTATATATTTTGCTGATGGTGGTAGTAGTATAGAATGAGGACATCAGAGAATTTAAATGGATAATCTCCTAGTTAGATTACAGGTACAGCATATAATATAGAACCTTCAGTGGACTACTTGAATAGGCAACTAAAAGTTGCACATATAGCTAAATATACTTTTGTTAACCAAGAATATACTACTAAAATAGCTAATAAAAATTCATCTTTTTACGACATTGCGAAGATAAAAATAAAAAAATAAAAATAAAAAATAGTTTATAGAAAGATAATATTCTAATTTTTGTTTTATATACTGTAAGCTTGATAGGAAAGGTAGATTGTAAATTCTTAATTACAGTTTTGTTGTTAATATAGATATTGATAGAAGAGTTAGATAGTAAAGCAAGAAGAAGACTAAAGATTGCCTCTAGTTTAATATGAGTAGAATCAGAGTATAAATAAATATTAGCATTAAAGCAGATAGAAGTATGAGATTTGCAAACTCATTCTATGCTAGTTTAGATATTTAGAGATTAGATATTTTTAATAAAACCATCTGTATAAAATTCTAAACTGTTGTGATTAAGGTTATTTATAAGATGAAAGAGTTGAATTAATTGATTTTGATAAGTAGATAAATTTACAGTTTCAGTTACAACACCATATTTCTAACTACATTAAAAATCTTAACAACTAGAACCTTCTTAGTACCTGCATTCATATTCGTTTACAACAGCTCCAAAACAACCTTTGGTCTTCTACAAATATCTTAATACATTCAAATCCTAGAATTGATAGACCAAATAAATTAACTACAACTTTTAAAATTATATAACTTTTTTAACATCTTGGTTTATCAATTACTTCAAATCCCCTTTATAATATTTCATTTATTATTACCACTAACTCTATTACTTAAGAATCTTTATTATCAACATACTTTAAATTTTTAGTTTTCAAAAAACAACTTCATTATCATCATATTCTTATTTTAGAACAGCTTACTTCATATGACAACTCATGTTTTTTAAACTAAAAACACATATCACCAAGAATTCACAAAGTTCCTAAAGGCAAACAACCATTTTGGTTCACTATTCTTAAAGATCTTGTTACTGACCATATTCATAAACGAATATGAATGCAGGTACTAAGAAGGTTCTAGTTGTTAAGATTTTTAATGTAGTTAGAAATATGGTGTTGTAACTGAAACTGTAAATTTATCTACTTATCAAAATCAATTAATTCAACTCTTTCATCTTATAAATAACCTTAATCACAACAGTTTAGAATTTTATACAGATGGTTTTATTAAAAATATCTAATCTCTAAATATCTAAACTAGCATAGAATGAGTTTGCAAATCTCATACTTCTATCTGCTTTAATGCTAATATTTATTTATACTCTGATTCTACTCATATTAAACTAGAGGCAATCTTTAGTCTTCTTCTTGCTTTACTATCTAACTCTTCTATCAATATCTATATTAACAACAAAACTGTAATTAAGAATTTACAATCTACCTTTCCTATCAAGCTTACAGTATATAAAACAAAAATTAGAATATTATCTTTCTATAAACTATTTTTTATTTTTATTTTTTTATTTTTATCTTCGCAATGTCGTAAAAAGATGAATTTTTATTAGCTATTTTAGTAGTATATTCTTGGTTAACAAAAGTATATTTAGCTATATGTGCAACTTTTAGTTGCCTATTCAAGTAGTCCACTGAAGGTTCTATATTATATGCTGTACCTGTAATCTAACTAGGAGATTATCCATTTAAATTCTCTGATGTCCTCATTCTATACTACTACCACCATCAGCAAAATATATAAATGTAAACTTATATAAATTATTATGCACTGAAATATTGCGCAATAATTATGATTGACACAGAATATTTCGAAATAAATTACAGAATATTACATAAAAATTTCGAAATATTGCAAAATAAATTTTGAAATATCATATAATAATTTTCAAAATATTGTGAAATAAATTTCAAAATATCATATAATATTACGTAATATATTTTGTAATATTACGAATATATTTTAAAAATTTGCATAATATTTTGAAATAAAAAAAAATAATACTGCAAAATTCTATTTTATTAAAAATATTTTTTTATTATTAATATTTTTATACATATATATTTATTCATTAAAATATTACTTTATTATTTAAATTACAAAAAATCAGCTAATTCCAATATATCATTTCCGTCATTTCTATCATTTCTAGCAAAAAACTTCTTAAAAAAAGAAGAAAACCCACAAAAAAAAAAACTGTCGCTTATTTTTGTATCAGTTTCTGGCACTATGAGCTCAAAATCTCAAGTTTGGTTCTAATTCACCTTTCTAAAAAAATCTTTTCCGGCAAAGCAAAAATCTGGAAAGAAGAAAACTATTAGTAAAAAATAAAAAAGACAAAAACACAAAAAATGAATTAATACTTATCATTGTACTGGCTTCAGCTCCAAGATCTCAAGCTTGATTTCAAGATCTCAAGTCTGGTTCCAAATCACTATTCTGGCCTAAAAAGAAGAAAAACATTAGTAAAAAAAAAAGAAAAAATAAAAAAATAAAACAAAGAGATTATTACTTATCTTTATACCAGTTTCTGGTTCAAGGATCTCAAGCCCAATTCCAAGATCTTAAGCTCAGTTTCAATAATGTTTCCTAGCAAAGCAAAAATTTAAAAAGAAGAAAACTATTAGTAAAAACAAAAGACAACAAGAAAATATAAAAAAAAAAACTAGTACTTATCTTTATACCAGCTTCGGCTCCAAGATCTCAAGCTTGATTTCAAGATCTCAAGTCCAGTTCTAATACACCTTCCCGGTAGAGCAAAAGAAGAAAAACGTTAATAAAAAAAACAAAAAAAAACAAACAAAAAAACAAAAAAAGACTTATACTTATCTTTGTACAGTTTCCGGTTTCAGAATCCCAAGACCAATTCCAAGATCTCAAGCCTGATTCCAAGATCTTAAATTAATAACCTTTCTCAGTGAAGTGAAACCTGAAAAAAAAGAAAATCATTAGTAAAAAATAAAACACAAAAACACAAAAAAAGAATTGGTACTTATTATTATACCAGCTTCTAGCTCTAAGATCTCAAGCTTGATTCCAAGATCTCAAGTCTGGTTCTAATACACTTTCCCGGTAGAGTAAAAGAAGAAAAACGTTAATAAAAAAAAACAAAAAAAAAGGTTGATTTTTAGTATAGGTGGGCATATATAATTATTATACAATTATTATATATATAACTTAACTATTTTAAACTAATTTAAGTAATTTTATAAATTATTAGGATCAGGGTTAAGGTTAGAGTTTAAATTGGCTCAAATTAGTTAGGTTTTATATATTATAATCTTGTAATAATTTATATATGCCCACCTATACTAAAGGAGATCCAAAAAAAAACAAAAAAAAACAAAAAAAACTCATACTTATCTTTGAACAGTTTCTATTTCAGATCTCAAGACCAATTCCAAGATCTCAAGCCTGGTTTCAAGATCTTAATCCTGGTTTTAATAATGTTTCCCGGTAAAGCAAAACCTAGAAAAAAAAAAACTATTAGTAAAAAATAAAACACAAAAACACAAAAACACAAAAAAAGAATTGGTACTTATTATTGTACTAGCTTCTGGCTCCAAGATCTCAAGCTTGATTCCAAAATTCTAAGTCCAGTTCTAATACACATTCTCAGTAGAGCAAAAGAAGAAAAACATTAAAAAAAAAAAACAAAAAAACAAAAAAGACTCATACTTATCTTTGTACAGTTTTCATTTCAGAATCTCAAGACTAATTTCAAGATCTCAAGCCCGGTTTCAAGATCTTAATTCTGGTTTTAATAATGTTTCCCAGCGAAGTGAAATCTAGAAAAAAGAAAACCATTAGTAAAAACAAAAGACAAACAAGAAATCAAAAAAAAAAAAAGGTATTTATCATTATATCACCAAGCCTAATTCTAATTCCAAAAGCTCAAGCCCGGTTCCAAATTACCATTCTGACAAAGCAAAAGCCTAAAAAGAAAAAAAACATTAGTAAAGAAAAAAAAAATAAAAAAATAAAAAAACAGAGACAAATCTGAAAAAAACATTTCTTGGTGAAGCAAAAAAAAAAGCATTAGTAAAATAAATAATAAAAAACACAATATTTATTCTTTGTTTCTAAGATTTAATAAAAGTTTATAATCCGAGTTGGTATTCTTGCAAGGTACTAGAGAGATTTGAAGTGGGTAGATGTGCTATAAAATAAATAAATAAATAAATAAAATAAATAAAAATAAATAAATAAAAAAAATAAATAAATAAAAATAAATAAATAAAATAAATAAATAAAAATAAATAAATAAAAAAAATAAATAAAAATAAATAAATAAAAAAAATAAATAAAAATAAATAAATAAAAAAAATAGAAAAATTATAGATGGCAACCCATCACCATGGCGACCCTATATGATCGGCCAATCATTTTTGAGATCGCTGATCATATATAAACAATTAATAATCGTTTGTTTTGGATTTTGGCTTTCGTTCTTTTTTTTGGCTTTTGTTTTTTGCTTTACTTAATTTTAGGCTTAGGTATGTATTTTTTGCTTTTTTTTTATTTTCTTTATTATCTTCGCTTTTATTTTTTTTATTTTTTTTTTTACTTTTTATTTTCCTTTCCTCTGCTTTTTTTTCCGCCTTTTTCTTTCCGCCTTTTTCTTCTTTCACTGTTTTATTTCTTTTCTTTTTTGCTTCCTTTCTTTTTCTTCGTTTCTTGCTTTTTTTGTTTCTCACTTTATTCCTTTCTTTTTTCTGCTTTATTTTTCACTTTTTTCTTCTTTCTATTTCTTTTCTTCTTTCTCGCTTCTTTTTTTTTCTTTTTTTTTCCTCTGTTTTTTTTGTTTCTTGTTTTATTTTTTTTTCTTTTTTTCTGTCTCATTTTCTTTTTTCGCATTTTCTTCTTTATTCGTTCTATTTTGTTCATTTTTCGCTTCCTTCTTTTTCTTCTCTTTTTACTTCTTTCTTTCTTTTCCGCTTTTTGTCCTTTTCTTTCTTT